TGGTTACTCTGCCTCAAAGGCAACGACACGCGGTTTTATTTTGGTGCCACGTCAGCGGCACAGTCTGCTCGGACAGACACACCCTCCACTGTGCCAACCGAGCAGCCTAACTGCAGGATCCTGCCTCTCATCACAGGAGGGCAGGGTCCCGCCATCGTCCAGCTCGGACCCCTGGGAGGAATGGTGTCCACCCACAGCCGAGCCTTCCTCTTCCTCCTCGGGCGAATGCCAGTGTGGGGGTCCCAGTCGGTTAACAGGTTAACTCTGTCTTTTGTCAGAAGCGCCTGGAGCTCGTGAGGCTGCTGGAGGGCCGCTCGTGCCCCCACGCCCAGCGTTGATCAAGTAACGTTCCTTCTTCTCCTCCTCACCACAGTGCTTGGGACGAGAGAATGTAAACATGGACAGAAGCAGCAGCCCTGTGACCCGTCAGTACTGTCCCCCAGGCGGAGTCCAGCGGCCAGTCCCGCGCCTCCTCCCCGCAGCCCGCCGTGCGCTCACTGAGATTTCCGTGGTACTTTAGTGTCTCCTTTACTTTGGCCTCCATCGTGAAATGTTTGCTGCACGTGAGCAGGCAGGGGGGAGTGGGAGAGTGATGCTGCGTGCTGAGCTCCCGGCTGTAAACCCTTTAGTAAATTCTGAGTCAGGTTGTGGTGGAAAGCGGCTGAGGTAGATCCCGAGGTGGCGGTCACTCCAGCTGTGTCCGTTCCAAAGCCAAGTAGCTCCAAGGGAAACTGGAAGGGCATGGTCACTGGAACAAGGCCACCCAGCATCCCAAAAGGAGTCACATTTTGATTTGTTACAGACAAAGGTGATGTCGTGAGAGTCAGAGGTGAGGCATTAGCCAGTAATGACACTCCTGCTGTGGACTGCACGCTGGCTGTTACCACCGAAGATCCTGAGGCAGAGGGTGGTCTGTGTGGAGCAGACAACGGTTTAGTAGCACCCTGTGTTCCACTTCCTGTTCCCCCGGACACACTAGTCCTGTTGGGTCCGCTGGCGTTCAGGCCGCCGCCTCTGCTGGCGGGTACAGTGCCTGCAACCCCACTCAAGCTAGTCTTTCCTGCAGAGCCGGCAGGCGAGGAGTTTGTGAGCTTGGCCGAGGCCTGAAGGCTTTTCGCAGATGGAAGGCCGGAGGTGCGGCTGGCGGGCAGCAGGTTCAGAGTGGGGGGCTGTCTGCTGAGGCTCGTCCCGCTGGGCTGCTTGTGGACAGGGGCGGCACTGCTGGAGTGAGCACTCTGGGCGACGAGGGCATTCGGACTAGACGAGCTCGGGGACACAGTGGGCTTGGGGGCCGGGCCGGACTTGGAAACCAGTTTAGTCGCTACCGAAGGCTTGGTTGGCAGAGAGGGCTTGGGGGAGGCAGAAGGCTTGGGTGAGGGCAAGGGTTTCGGAGACGTGGCCGGTTTGGGAGAGGCCGCGAGTTTGGGGGACGCAGTCATCGAGAACGGGGACTTGAAACCCTGCGTGGAGATCTGCGACACCATGGCCTTGGCCAGATAGTTAGTGGAGGTAGTGGTGCTGGGCGCTGTCCTAGAGACCAGGGGGTGAGCCCCTTGGGAGCCGTTTCCAGACAAGGGTGTGGACAGGGGCAGGCGGTAGACAAGCGGTTTCTCCGACGTCTTCACCAGCGGGGTCTGGCAGGAGAGGTGGGGGGTGCTACTCAGCTTCACCACAGGGTTGGTCTGGGATTTGCTGATGGTGGCCTGCAGGGGAGACACGTAGTTCTGCTGGACAGCGGCGTGCTGGTGCACCTTGGTGACCTGTGTCAAGGAGGACGCGTCTGGAGCCTCCGATGTTCCCAGAGAGTGAGCAGAGGCGGCGGCTGGGGCTTGGGACGAGGAGGGGGCGTGGGCCTGGGCAGAGGAAGCAGCCGAGATCTGGCTGGACCTCTGCAGGCCTTGCTGCAGCAGCCTGGCCGGCAAAGGTTCCAGGGAGACTTTAGGGTTCTGAATGGAGGACCCCGCGATAAGGCCTGAAGAGATGCCAGTATGGGCTAAGTCCTGGGGTTTCTTTGGTACTGGCCCGCTGTGGCCAGCGATGAGACTGGACGAATGTGCGCCCTGTGTGGACTCGAGCTTTTTGGACGTGGCCAGCGGCAGCTTACTCATGATACTCGCTAGTTTTTCTTCTCTCAGTCCTGGGCAAGGTTTTGTGGTCGGCAGGCTGACCCGTGAGCTGACCGGGGGTCCCTTGCTCCCATTGTTGATAACCTCTGTTGATATACTGTTCCAGTCAATTTTGGATATTCTTTGGCAGGACTTTGCTTGTATGTAATATTAGTGATATTATTTGTTAATTTCTACTCTGTTGGATTGCCTTTTACCAGGTAGCTGTCTTCTAGATTTTATAGCCCAACTTGGTGAGCACATCCAAGGCTGCTTCTGTTTATTTGGATATGTCAATTAATATTTTATCAATTCCTGGGGCCTTGTTTTTTTGCCAGGTCCTTCAGAGCAGTTTCAAACTCCTTCTTCGGCACTACTCCCTCTTGATCATATGTTGTTTCATGAAATTTTTCAAGTGTCAGCCAGTTCTTTTTGGTACCGTGAGTCTGTATACTCCTTTCCATCTTCTTTTGATGCTTTCTGAATCATTCAATAGTCTGCCCATTGCATTGCAACTTGAGACTTGAATTTGTTTTCCAGTTCCTTCAGCTTGAGAAATGCCAAGTGAATTCTTCCCTTTTGGTTTTCTGACTGTAGCTCTTTGCACATTAATACTTTGCTATGTTTTCCTGAGCAGCCCTTTAAACTTTTCTGTTCAGCTCCTTTACTTTCCTGATTTCTTCCCTTTGCTTTGGCTTCTTGACATTCTAGTACAATAGAGTCTCCTCTGACATCTATCTCAGTCTTTTCTTTCTCTTCTGTCTTGTGATGACCTTTTTGCATTTTTCGTGAATGATATTCTTGATATCCTCCCACAGCTTATCCGGTCTCTCTCTGTTCATTAGTGTTCAATGCCTCAAACCTGATCCTGAGATGGTCTTTAAATTCAGAAGGGATAGACTCAAGGTCAAACTTTCGTTCTTGTGGTTTTGAATTTCTTTAGCTTCAATATGAACTTGCACTTGAGTAGTTGATGGTCCCTTCTACAGTCAGCACCAGTCAGAACTTTGTTGTTAGGTGTCATCAATTTGGATCTGACTTATAGTGAACTTATGTATAAAAAGAGTGAAACACTGCCTCATCGCCATTCTCGAAGGTGCCTAACAACCAGAAGAAGAGATCAAATAAAAAGGGATGTCCATAAAGTTTGGAAACAAGTAGTGGTTAGAGACCAAGGACAGTTTCAGAGTGATGGAAGCCTAATTTGAGTGGATTGAAGCTTATATTATTTTTATACTAATGAAGAAAAAGGAAGAAAAACTTCCTCTTTTGTAGAACAGTGTAACTGGCAGTTCTTGCAACATTTCTGTCTTTCTTTTCCCCCCACCTCCTTCCAAGTAAGGGAATGTGCTCCTTTGTCAGCTGTCAGTTGAGGTTATGAGCCCACCCACAGGGGGCTGGTTAATCTGTCACTCTCATTCGGGGAGAACAGCTGGTCTGATTGTCTGACTCATCTTTTCTGCTTCTCTCCCACCAGTGAATTCCATTTTTTCCCAATTTCCTCTCTTCCTTGCTCAAAGCCACCTTCAGATCCTATGATATCTCCCACAATGGAACCTCAGTCTGTTCTCACATGCATTAGATAGTTTCCCACCTCAAGTTTGCTATTAATGTGTGTTCTCTCTATAGGATTGTGACCAACAAAGTGGTAATTATTAACTGTCTCTGTCAAACCAAAAACCCCACTGCCACTGAGCAGACCTCAACTCAGTGATCCTCCATTGGCTTTCCAAGACTCAATCTTTAAAAGAGGAGACTGCCCACCTTCCTCCCTCAGAGCAGCTAGTGTATATGAACTTCTAACCCTCAAATTAGCAGCAGAACACATAATGCATGAAGTCCCTGGGACTCAACTCTGTCTCCAGGAAAGCAATAGTCTAAGAAAATTCACTCCCCTTGTGAAATGCTTTTATTTTCCTTCTTACTTAAGAAAGAAAAGATTTCCTGTTTTAGAAATCTTTGCTAGCAAGAGAGACATCCTTCCTTAGACCAGGTAACATTTCATTTGCTGCATTGCCAGATTCTAGCACCAACTCACAAGCAAAGATTTTACAAAAAACTTTAGGACCAATCAGTGTGAATGTTGGACACTGCAGGGACTAACCATTCTGGAAGTGTTCTGACTAGGCGTCCATACCCCCTGCACCGTGATGGATACTCAGACACACATAGCAGAAGGCATTGGTTGGGTCCCAGGTGATACAAAACAGGTTAGAGAATTTAAAGACTCATTTTTCAGAAAGTAAATGAAGCAGAAAAGGAGATAAAATTGGAAAAGGCTTGAGGCATTTTTCAATGAAACTGCATGAGAAAGTTCAGAGGAAAGGAACAATATCATAAAATGACGGAGCTGATGAGCTGGTGTCAGAGTTCATCAATTCAAATAACCATTTGGCCACTGATTCACAGGACTGTGATCAGAAGAATATTAGGTGAAGAATTCATGATGCTTTAAATGTGCTAAAGGCAATGAACATAATTTCAAAGAAAAAAAAATCAAGTGGATGGACCTGTCTACCAGCTCTGCTCAGGAATGTCAAAATCTAGAGATAGAGAAGGAGAGGTCACTAGAAAAGACAAAGCAGAAGCAAATTCAGCTGCAAGAACTTCTCCTGCATCAAATAGCTTTCAAAAAACCTAATACAAAGGAATCGGCAAAATGGACAGCTAAATTACAGCTCAGAATTACACCATTCAGCTGTCATTTATAATCATCAATTCAGGCAGGAAAGCCATATATATATTTTATAT